TTTAGCCAATAACACTGAAGTTTGTGCTGTACACTTAAATATATATTGATCGAGGAAAAAATTAGTTTAGCACTGGAAACTGTCCTTAATTCTGTCCTCTGTTTAAGAAATCTTCAGAAGGAATTGATACTTTCTGACAAAACACGTTTTTCATAAAATTCCCAGCTAGCTTTAATGAGTGTTACAGTGAGTACCAGAACAACACTGCTGACAGGAAGGCAAATGTTTTCTGTGTAATATGGATTCGCAATTCTACATTGCTCTGTGTTAAAAATGGAAGGTGTGCAATATAGGTCAGCATGGTGTCAATTCTAGCAAATTAAAATACAGATGCTTCCTCTCAAATCAATCAAAGCATCTATGAAACTTCACAAATTAGAAATAATGTGGACATGTGAAACTACTTGACACTTCACAAAATAATCACTGTTTTTTATTGTGGTTCTCAATAGCTGGTGCACATAAAAGTTGCACAGTGACTACACTATAAAAATTATATTTCTATATTGTTAAAATTTAATGCATTAGTCAAAGCACCAGATCAGAAAATTGGCTTGAATTTTAGACAGAGAAAATGGTCTTTTACTGCTGTGACATGGGGGAAAATCCCAAGTATTTCCTTTTGTCTTTCACTGATGCTATGTACAAAATGTGAATTGTGTTTTAGCCACTTACGGTAATGAGGCCCTGATTCAGTACAATTCCAAGTATGTCCTATTAACATAGATATACTTCTTAGCTCCTCACTAGAATAAACCTGAAACATATCTCTGTGTAATTCCAAGTTTGTTTCTCCCACAGTAAAGAGTGCCTACTAGGCACTTAAACTTGATTTCTATTTCTGGGTGGTTTGATTTTTTTTGTTTGTTTTTCATTTGGCAAATAATTTTTCCTTTGTTTCTCATGAATTGGACCTTAATTGCCAAGGTCAGTTTGTGTTCTAGCTTCATTAGTATTTAGTTCTGGCTTAATTGTTTGAATTAATGGCATGTGTACAAATTATAAATTATTGGATTTGTAGCGGTTTCTCACAAATGATATCAATAGTATAATTTTAAGAGGCAATAAAGGATGTACATTCCTTACCATAAGAAAAGTACTTGAAATAAGGTGGGCACCAATCTCTCTTATGCAGTAGAACCTTGTTAAAAACAGATGTATGTGTAAGAACCCTATTAGTGTAGTCGTAAGATATTTTCCTCCTTTACTTTGCATCACACCTTTCATGCCTAATATTTCATTAAATAGCACAGTGTATTTACACAGGTGGAATACACCTCTTTGCAAGACAGTGGCTTTTACAGCTTTCTGGTCTTATTTTAGCAATTTGATGATTCCTTTTTTTTTAGTGTTCGAACTAAATAAAGTCATCGTTTCATTTCAGTTTGGAAGACGCTACATTGACGATATTTTTAATGATTTTCGAGATGGAAGAAGACTTCTGGAGCTCCTGGAATGCCTTACAGGCCAAAAACTTGTATGTATATATTAACAAGTTTATTGTATATTGAAATCTTGATGTTGTGATTGTTGTAGTAGGTGTTGTTCATTAATTTATGCCATTGATGAGGGCCTGTGGAAACTATGTTTTAGGGAACTGAATATTTTTTACTTTCATTTGCAATTGAGGAAACATTGCAGCTGAGAGCTAGGCTTATATTCAAAATGAAAATGTTCTACTTTGTTGTATGCACTTATGAAGGAAGTGTGGCAAAGAGAAACAAGACTGAGGCAGGGCTCATTTAGATATTTACATTTTAGCTGGAATTCCAAAAGTATTTATCACTAGATGTTTGTGCCAAACACAAGGAATATAATTTAAAGTGTAGAATTAGAATATTTTGCTAATAAATTTCATACTTACAGTCCAGGTATTGAAGTTGTAGATGTCTGAAAAGAGAAAACAGCATGCTCTTATTAACCTGGAAATTCTAAAGTGACATGTCATACATCTTTTTGAATATCCTCTCTTGTTTTCCTGCTTGGACTTAGTGAGCTTGGGATCTTTCTTTGGAACTTTCTCATAAAAAAGCAATGAAGCAGACTGGGAGTTTGAGAATCAAAATCCTGAGAGAGTGTTATTGTAAATAAATATTGAACAACCTAATGCTTATCTTTTTGGTTGTCACAGTAATGTTCCTGAATTGTGCCATGGAGAAGATGACTAATCATAATAAACAAAATGTGGAATTATCTGATTTTATATACATTTCAGTGGTTCATTCACTGAGAAATGTCAAGATACCAAACTACCTTCCAACTGTGGATCCAGTTTGTTTCACAGTTGCCTTTATTTCATATCGGGAAGCTGTGTATGCGTAATGCTAATATTCTCACTGTTGTTATAAACTTATGAACTAGAAAACTATAAGTGTAATATAAGATTTGGGTTACATATAGTGTATTCTAGTTTCTGATTTTGGGCAGTCAAATTTGCTTTATTTTCTTTGTAGGCAAAAGAAAAGGGCTCCACAAGAGTTCATGCTCTGAACAATGTCAACAAAGCACTGCAGGTTTTGCAGAGAAATAATGTAAGTAATCAGCCAGACAGGGTCAGAACATCCTATAGATAGCAGACTTAATGCTTTGTATGTGTTGGATCAAACTCTGGCCTATAGTATACAATTACTGCAGTCAAGGCAGTGTTATTAATGTGACTTGGACACTTTGTCATTCAGCACCAGGATGGAATACATTTCAAAGACTTCAAAATCCACTGCCAGGAAATGTTTGAATAATATATCTATAAAGAATGCTATCTGAAGGCTGATCAACATGCACAATTTTATGGTAATGCATGGTGTTTAAAATACATTTTAAAAGGTTAACTACAAGAAGTCATCCATACCTGGTTAGAAGGTGCTACCTATCAAAATACCTGCTCACAAGCTCTGATGATTATGAAGTCTGAAAAACAGGCTTTTCTACAAGGAGTCTCTTTGGTAAATTTTCATTGATCTCTGTTCTTTATGGTTCATAACATTAAGGAAATGAATCATATCAAAACCACTTCCCGTTCAACTTTGTCAAGATTGACTTTTCAATGATCCTGTGCATCATTTTTCAGTAAATATTCTCATATCTTCCTTATGCAAGCATTCTAATGGACCCATAACTTTAGCAGACATTTTCAGTGGCCTACTAATTATATCATATCTCCTCCTCAAGAATAAATTCAAATAAACCAAAATATTCACTTAAACTTAACAGTAAGATGTGATGGAACAGAGATAATGTATTCTGTGCTGCATATTATATTGGATTTCTTGATAGCTGCAGTAGGTCACTAAATATGCTTGAGTTCAACTGCTGAATAAAGTTATTGATTTTATAAATCTAAGGTAATGCTTATCCATCTGAAGATTTGTGCATAAATGAAAGTGACTTTTTAAGACTGGCATAAAGGCCTCCAGCTTGATTTTTTTTTTTTTTTAAATGGTATTTCTGGTAAATACATAGAAGGCAAAGGTTCTAGTTCTTCAGAAGCCTTAATGTTTGACATCGTTAAAAAAAAAAATCGGCAATACATTATTTCACAGAAAACAAGGAAGTTTTCACTGCACACCTGGGATATGGTTACAAATTTTCATAATAAATGCTTTCAAAAGTATTTATTCAGTACAGATCAGCTAAATCATTAATGTGTTGTTCATTCAGTTTCCAGAACACAACAATAGTCCTTTTCAAATATGGAAAGAAAACAGAGAGTATTCCAATTGAAGAATATAGAAGCAAAAATGTTCTTTTAGAAAGTGAAGTGGTCATTCAGTGGCTATCATATTCATGTATTGAAAACTTTGTAAGCTATAAACAATATGAAAATTAGTATAGTGTGTATATATACTATATCAATTTAGTATAAAACCAAAAGATCTGCCTCTGAAGTAGTTTCCTCAGCCTTCAAAATCATCTCAGTAGTGATTTCTATCAGACTTCAGGAATGCAAAATCAATGGTTCTGAAGCTATTTAAAGCCTGTGACCAATCTAGATTATTCTACTGGTGTGTGCCATCCTTGCTGTGAGGTTCTGCAGTCATCTGGGTGGTAACAGATTGAAAAATGCTGCTGCTTCCAATCAATCCATTTTACAGGTTTTTTTTTTTTTTTTTTTTTCCTATGGAAAGCTGATACTGTTGGGGCAAGGGGTTGCCCCGGTATAGACTCAGGCAATGCTGAGGCAAACTGGGAAGTGTTCCTCTGTTCCAATAAAACAGGTGTAGGTTCTGTGTATTCAGGCTTCCATTTCCAAAAATAGATGGAGGATAACTTCAAATAGCTTCAGAAGTGCAGTAGAGATATGCAGACCGCAGTTTGTGAAGGAATGGGGTACTTTACCATATAAGTAACGGTTCTGACCATGAAAAACTGCATCTATGAAACAGTGAGGATGCAAATTTTAGAGTCATAGTTTCCATCCAGAAGTGCAGGTCTTAGCTTGTGTTGGCTTGCCCTCACGTCTCCAAATTTGGCTTTCTTATTTAAATAGCATAAAAAGTGGGGGAGGGTGAAGGATCATTTCATATGTGGAGGAAAGAATATTCCAGGGTGATAAATGCTGATGCATTATGAAGTTGCAAATGCATAATAGTTATTGGAAACAACATTACTGGACCAACTAATGTGGAAAAGAATTGCTCTGGATCACAATCATTGGTTTCTCTAAATTCTAGAACACATCCTGCCTTACCTTATACAGTGTAGAATTTAAAGCAAAGCAAGTTCGGCTTGAATCTAAATATGTAGAATAATGTCTTGGGTTTGTAGGTTCTTACAGTGTCTAGATGTGTGTGTAGCTTTCAGCAAAGTACATTATATAAGGTAGTATGGAGCATAATACAGGAGTTTTTTCTGTGTTGCCCATCAGTTTTATGATTGGTAATTGTAGAGGCTTAATATAAAAGATTTTTGAGTTATTACTAACTGTTACTTTTAATTGGATGTTTTCACAACATGCTATAACTGGAATAATTGGAGCTAGATCACTGCTTGCTTTTTGTCAGCACATTAATTGTGCCATTTATAAAACATGAGTTGGATGTTTTCTAAACAACAGAAACCAAATAAGATATTTACCCTCGCCCATCTCTCCGTTTGCCTCACCGCAAAGAAAGTTTAATACCAAATGTATCAAAGTAACACCAACATCTTATGCTTGCTATTAATCTTATAAAAATATCTTTTTATTTCTTTAATAGGTCGATTTGGTAAATATTGGGAGCTCAGACATTGTGGATGGAAATCATAAGCTGACCCTTGGTTTGATCTGGAATATAATCCTCCACTGGCAGGTGAGGGGCATTGCTGCTTACTTTCCATGAAGTACCTTTATTCCATTGACCTTTTTTTCCATCGTCATTCAGCTACAACCTAAAACGTGTACATCGACATTGCAAACAATGTCCTAAATCAGCAAGTTTTATGGCAGTCTGTTTGCATATTTATCCAGGATATTAAGAAACTCAAGAAGATAAAATAGGTTTTAGAACATTAGCAGCAGCTCTTTTGACTCTAATTTCACAGTCAGATGTTGCAAGAGAATACATAATACAGCTATTGTAAGAAAAATGGATAGCATAGCCAATGTGGATATATAGTTTTCACAGTCACTTTTCTTTTTAGTACCTTAGAAAGAGTGACTTTTATATTTTAATGAAATAATCACATTTGTTGCTATTCGCTGCTGGCCCATCCTGCCAAGAATTATTTTTAGAACACTAAAAAGGTGCTACTCTGACAATTTATTGAAGCAGATGTGGTTCATTTAGCTTCCTTTCTCTTCAGAGAAAAAGGGGGATTATGATACAGCTCTTGTAAAAACCAACAAGATAGATGAGGACACTTAAGGAAACAAATTCTGAGACTGCAGTAAAATAAAAATTAAAAAAAAAGTAACATCTAGATGCTCCGAGTCTGTGTGTTTATATGAATCTAGGCTAAGAGTCTGTCCATTTGTGTTGGCTCTGTTCCCCAAGCCATAATCTACAAGTTTTTCATTGCATTAGAAGCAAAGATGGTGGGAAACAAAGCCTAAAGGACTTTATATTATAAACTAAACACTCCTATCAAAAATCATGTGTGCATCATTCATTGAAGTCGGGAACATTTTTCTTCTAGTTTTACAGGACATGTTTTAGGGAAAGCAACAGAGAAAAGCTGCAAAGAGTTAAATCACTTCTTCCTCTGTATCCCATTCCAGTATTCCTAGTTGGATTGTTTAATATTGTTCTAAATTACTTATTAAGAGCAGATGGAAACCTAGCTGTGCAACTTCTACCAATAATCCTGGAATCACTGTGTTTTAATTTAGTGAATTATGGACCTGAGATGACTGTTCATGTTCAAATTCATATTTTGATTTCTTCATATTTTATCCTGAATCAAAGTGTTAAAGATGTGCTTTAGTATTAGCTGTGTACTTCCTAATTTTTCTTTCACCTTTTCCCACCATTCCTCTTAAGGCATACTTGCACACACACAGAAGACACACATGTTCTCTGGCATAGTCTGGTGAGGTTTTTGACAACAGGCATGTGGTATTAGAGCACCGATTGCTTGCAGTACATAGGTGATTCGTTTTATGCTTCATCTTGAGCCTAGTAATAACTGTGACAGCAGTTGTGATGGTACCCATGACTTCAGGGGAACTACCCACATTTGAAAAGTCCAGGGATCTTATTTAGAAAGCAGTGGTTAAAGGTGTGACACTTTCTTGTCATAGTCATAATGATTTAGTCCATATTTAGTCTATACTTTGAGTCCTGTGTTTCAGTTCATTCTATTCACGATCTACTGAAAGGAAGTGACCTGCATGTTCTGGGCTTCTCTTTTTATTAAAAATTTTGAAAATAAACTTCTAATTTGGCTAGAATTCAACTTCTGTTTCTTTTCTAAAGAGTAGCAAAATCCTGGTTGGCAAGAAGAAACCATTATTATATAATAACCCTGTTGCTGTTGCATAATGATGAATAGTTAAAAAATATGAAGCCAGATTTGTACATGGGCTTTTCTCTTTTTAAAAAGAAGTCAGGAGCTGTTGGTGTGCTGCCTATTTCCCTTAAAGGAATGGAACAGTTTAAAGTGGATTTGCTTATTTACAGCTCTGTGGAGAAAATCTTTGTTCTTTTCCAGATTTTCTTTCAAGTTTTCAAGTGATTTACATGATCTAGAATACATTCATGATTGTGCTGCCCTGTTTATAGGTTGGTACTATCTTATATATTGGCAGCACTTCTGGTGAAACAAGGCTGTAAGTTTCTTAAGAAAGGGTGCTTCTTCCTGGGGGTACCGTTTTGCCTATCACAGATTCTTCTTGGCACTAAGCAGCTGGGAGTATGACAAGCAATTGTTAAAGATTAAAATATGGACTCAAGGCAGCCAAATATTCTGCAGCCAGGACCACATTAGGACAGAACTGTACTTATATGTGCAAGACTGTCTCTTACAAAAATTTCAGTCTTTTTGTGTAAAAAAAAAAAAGAGATGGTAGAAGAAACGTGCATGAAAGGAATAATGAGGCAGTACCAGTCGGAGTGGATATCAGCAGCCCCATTGAGGAGAATCAGTGGTAGAGGCATTGCAGCAGACAAGATTTGACTCGTTCTTGCCACTCTCATTTCTGTTCAGTAGAAATCTTGTGGCTTTCCATATCCCCTGTGGTGACTGTGTCCTTTCTTATCTAGCCTGTTTTTCAGATTATTATTAAAAGTTTCACTGAAATTGAACCATTGTTCTGAGTTGAGCACCTGCTGCCAAAGCTCTTTACCGTACTGAATCTATCAGAGTTTTGATTTCCTTGAAGCTGCTGCCCTCTTTCTCACAGTTCTGTGATCCCAGCCTTACTGCTGCATTAACATTTAAGTAAAAACAAAATTAAACAATGAATTTCTGAACTGTTACGGTTTGACAAAGACTCTTTAAGTGGAAAAACATTCTATGTTGCAGTGTGTAAGTTCTTTTGCTAGTTTTTTTTAAGAGCAAAACTATTTTCACGTATAGCAAGAAGAAAAACCCTAACAAAAATTTCTCAAAAGGCACAGCCAAAATCCTGACTTTCTTCAGAAAAAATGCAAAATAATAGGTGCATATGTAAGGCAAGTATTTTAGAGCAACGCGCATTTCAACAGTCAGTCTCATTTGGAGGCCTCTTAAAAGCATCAGGTCTCTTGTGTTCTTGTTGCAGAACTATTTTAATTGGAATTACCATTTTATTTTATTTTGAATTGTAATGGTGGAAATTAAATACTAACTGTTTTGTCAATTCACCTTGAATCAATGAGCAAAGAACATCCTTTACTTTGACAGGTGTGTTGAACATCTATGAAAATGTTCTTAAAGGAGTTCTTTAAAATGTGCTTTGAAAGAGTTTAGTGGATTCTAGCTATAAAAAAGTAAGCTATGCAGTCAGAATACCTAAAATATAGCTAGTAAAAAATACTAAGTCATTCTGTGAGAGAGCTTTAAGATCCCTATTTGATCGAGAAAAATGAAAACACCTTGCTTTGAGAATACCTTTTTTAATTCCCTCTTTCTTCCCTCCCTCTCTCCTCAGGGCTGGCATCCTGAAGCCAAGTGCTGGTCTGATAAAGTATTATGTGCCTGAGTGTTGGGTTTAGGTGAAACAGATGTAGTGCAAGCCTGAGACGGTGTTCCTAGTCACTTTACGTGCACATAGCTATGCATGCACAGACCCCAGGATGTGGTCCTACAGCAGGGAGATCAGAGGTCCGCTGCCACCGTGGGCCAGGCCTGGGCGCGCTGCTTTTGGCCGCTTCTCAGTGTGGTGACAAGAACAGCAGTGATCCAATTCTGCTCACAGCTTTCCGTTTGGCAGTTTAACATTTCAGAAGTTATCTGTGGTGGTGCCTGTGTTGCCCTTTCCCCCCTTCTATTCAAAATTGAATCTTTTCTTATTGCCATAGTATAGGTCCATCCCCCAGGAAGAACAGGTATTTCTGTTCTCTGGAAGTTGGAGTTTCCTGCACCTTAAAGCTTTGTTTCCTGCCAGGATATACTGCACTGGGAAGCAGAAGTAACAAAGAAATGAGTGTCAGAGGTCAACTCATCATCTGACAGCAAGAGGCAGAGCTTACCAGACACTTTGAAATGGCTGTAGTTTTTGAGCCTTGATGCTGAGAGAGCTTACTGTCCAAAAGCTCTTCAGAATGACGTGAACGCATCTCTGTGTACTACTCTTTCTGAAGAGTACATTTTAACTAAGAAGGCTTCAAAAACTTCCTTCTAACCTCGATGTCAGCCAGCACCTTTCTGCTCAGACACTGATCTTGCTTCAGGGCCCAGCCGTCCTGTGGGCAGCGTTGGTGCTGCGCCCGCAGCGACGCGATGTAGCGTGGCATGGCACGGCATGGCACAGCATGGCACGGTACTGCGTGGTGCTGCCGAGCTGCTGGGTGGGGTGGGAGGGATGGCAGGTCCCCTCGGGCGCTCGGGAGGTCAAGTTGTAAAAGTGGAGTTTTCTAGCATTTCTTACTGAATAGGAAGTGACCTCAGCCTTCAGGATGAGATCAGAGCCTTTTATTTTGTTATTTTAAATGCCTGCCATTACCTAGGAGATAACAAAAAGTCATAAATTTAGCAGTCTTCACTGCTGTGGAGAAATGCAGGCAAACGAGAGAAAATCTTTATCCATTGTCAGCTTATTAAAAAGATGAGTTTGAAGCTATTTTGTGTTCATTTACTCAAACGTAGCAATAAATGCTAAGCTTTTTGGCCTCATCTCTTTAAATCAAAAGGAAAACTATTTCCTGGATTCTTCTGAATAATTGCCTTCCTGATGGCCCATTCTTTTATTGTTTTTGCCTAGTTTCCTCTGTTTATACATATTGCTCCTTTCTCTTACGTTAAGGTCAATTCAAACACTTGATCTTTTCTATATGTTATGAACTTATATATTTCTAAGTCTTCTGTTTCTGCATTCCTTCACCTATCCTTTTATAAGAGTGTGTGTTGTATTTTTCAAATGTTACGGTTTGCATACAATATACAGATAAATCTGCATTTGCAAATACCAGCACACGATAAAAATCCAAAATGAACAAGGAAACCCTGGCTTGAACAATTCTCCATTACCATAATTTTAAGATTTTCTAGTATTTCATATTGTTTAAGATTGGTGCAAGAGATGCTAATCTCAAAGCTTTTCTTCTTTTTAACACGTGGATTTATGAAAAACAATTTTTTATATTTTGATAGGAGTGAAGGCTTTCTGCCTGGAAATCCAGGTGGCAAATCTCCTGAAATTATGGCAAATCTGCTGAATTATGGAAATTACTTTGACAGCTCTCAATAATGAAGGCACTGAAAATATTAATGAGAAACTCAAAATACCAACACAGATGTATGAAGCAAAACTAAAGAGTTTATTTCCTAATTTTCTTAAACTCTTTACTTTCTGCATCCTTGTTTAGAAATGAAAACAGCTATAAAATGCTGCTATTCTTATTTGACTGAATTTTATATTAATTTTCATTGGTCCAAATAACAATCTCAGACTAAAGTCTGGAATGTGTCCCATGAAATTTAGATATGATCTGTTTCTCCTCCCAACTCAGAAACTAATAACATTTAAAGTTAACTTTATACCTAAGTCTCAAAAGGAAAATTGAAGGCACTGATACTCTTTGGGTAGTATATATACAATAAAATGCTGTCTGTTTTTTTCTACAGTATCACAGTAAATATTTTTTTTTGTTGATTATTCTCTGAGATTACAGCTTCTGCATGGTAACTTATGGTTTTACAATTTCAAAGTGGTCTATCCTTTATCATAAAGTAGCTTCTGCACTGAATGTTGTTTTTTAACTGCTACTGGCTTCAGAGCAATACAAGTGGAGAATTATAATGAAATTATATACTTTGTAAGCGAATAAGCAACAATAAGCAAATTTAGAGTTAAATTATATCTTAGGGAGTATTTTAAAAGAGCTGTAAATCTTTACAAGATACACAGAGAAAACAATGATTTAAAAGGGATTACTTTACAAGATAACCAATTAAGGATTTCTTAATAGAAGTTTTTGGTGCTCTTTCACTAGTAAAGAAGTTGGGGTGAAATATATAATCGACTCCATTATGTCAAACTTCAGGTTATTATTTTTAGAAGCTCTCAGAATTAATGGCTTTTTGTAAAATAATAACTGTAGGATGGTTTGCTTTCTCTAATGAAAGAGGAATATTAACTAATCATTAAAAAATTTTAAAAATGAAATTATAATACAATACTCTCTTAATGTATGCAATGAAATTCACTTTTCATCCAAGAGCATGTATGCAAATATAGTTAGCACGTTCATGTCAAAAACATTACCTACTGTGCACTGAGCAGATTTGTTTTGCCTCGGTGCTTATTTCAACTCTCTTAATGAGAGAAGACTACTTTTAGTCATTTTATCAAGTTTTACTATAAGGTCTCATATTAACTAAGGATATATTTCCAAAGAAAAGAAAACTACAAGGAGAAATTCTTTGAACAAATTCTGTTCCCATAAGTGATGCAAACAAGTGTGCCATCTCTGTTCATGCATGGAAAGCGTCGCATGGCACAGAGATGAATGTACTGAATGCATCATCAATGGTGACCCACAAGTGAATATCAGTTGTCTGTAAGCATTCGGAGTTGACTACTGTCATTATACTGTGACACCAAGTATGTTCTGTAATTACTTAGTTTTTTCTTTAAGGCTTAAATCTAGGCATCTGAGGGGTTTTTTTGGTTAAAAAAAAAAAAAAAAAAGTCAGCTTTTAATGAGTAAGTTCAATCATTGGTGATATTCTTTTATTGCAGGTCAAAGATGTAATGAAAAACATCATGGCTGGACTGCAGCAGACAAACAGTGAAAAGATTCTGCTGAGCTGGGTCCGCCAATCGACTCGTAATTACCCACAGGTCAATGTTATCAATTTCACCAGTAGCTGGTCTGATGGATTGGCTTTCAACGCACTCCTTCACAGTCACAGGTAGGAAAACTAACTTTTCATTATTTCAGTAAGCTTGTAACAGACAGCTGTAACAGGGCTTGAGGATAGTGTATCTCTTATCTGGGGGTTTTAGCTGCTTGCTGCGTGAGTTTTTCAGCGTTATTTTAAATGGCTGCCTGTTCACTTTGACCTGGGTGCTGTGTTCGGTGTTGGGCTAAATCCTCTTGTGGAGGAAGAGGGTCTGCGCTTTTCACAGCACAACCAATTATGCTCAGTTCAGATCCTTTTGTGCAATTTCATTCTATATATCAAGTAGATAGTCTCAAGGAGTATAGGCTTGGAAACTTTTGAGAAGAGCAAGGAGAAGATCCAAAACTAAACCTTCGAGGTTGTCCTAGAGGGAGAAGGAGATTTTCCTTTGGGGATTTAGAGGGGGAATGTGTAGTGTTTGTTGAATGTCTCTGACAGTTGCTGGACTGAAAGTATGGATTTGCCTCAAAAGGACACAGCTGGAGAAGGTAGCCTTTGTTTTCAAAACCTTTCATGTTGATTCCCCTGCTGAATTGACTTTCACCCTCTCTCAGAAGTTTTCTTGTGCTAGTCTATGGTGTATAAAACTCTGTGTTAGAGATTCAGAGTTGATTCTGTGTATTTGGCTTAAGGAAGACATGCAAGCCAATCTGTCTTAAAGTTGTAGTTCTTGTCACTGCTGGTTTTAAAGCAGTTATTTTTTCAATGTGGTAAGTCTCTTGACCTCTCGTCTCCCACTTCTATACCTCTCTGCTAAAGGGGGCTGTCCTGCAAGGTGGTGGTCTGCTCCAAATTATCAGTGAGAGTTGAGTTTTTGAACAGCTAAATGGCTATTTTCTGTTTAGTATGAAACAACAGGGATTTACCAGGTATTAGTACAAGTCAGGCCATATTTTTTTTTAGTTGTATTAAAGGCTTAAAATAAAATAAGGCAAAATACTTCTAAAAGCATAATCTGGGACAATATATGCCTTCCAACTTAGGCAGTGAAGAGCTGCAGATATTTCTGAAATTTTCACTGGCTCCTGAAACTGTCTGATGAAGTCTACTGCTGTTGTAGTCTGAAGACTAACACTGACAGCCATTTACAGCGGCTATACCTTACACCACTGTCCCAGGCATGGTAGGCATCTCTTGCTGTGAGTCCATTTTTTCACCCTGCATATACCTGGGATCCTTGAATAGATCTGACTGACCTAAGGTCCAGGAACTTTCAATTACAAGTGGTCTTTGCTTGTAATGTTAGGAATGAGGCATTATCTTAAGGAAGAATTTATTATACTTAAAATGTCTTTGTGTATATCTTTCACCTGCCTTCAGTATTTATAATCTTAACAGCTGGCTTACGCACAATCCTGCTGTTACTCTGCAGCTGATGCACTTACACCTTCTTGGTGTTGGTGCAAGTGTTTATGCAGGTATTAGGAGAACTGTGTTTGGGGAGCTAAATAAGAGAAGAGCTAAAATGTAGTGACTATGTTACCAGCTTTTGATAACTACTTTATTCATCGGTCATGCATTAAAATGTGGTTTAGTGGTTTTTTTCCAAACACTCCTTAAACTTACTTTTTTTGTTGTCTCCACTGATGATCATTTTTCATTTTAATTTGTTCTGTCTCTCATTTCATAAGTGGTTTCATACTGATGGACCTGAATATAAGAATGTAATTATCCTGTAGAAATCAATGAATCTCTCTCTTTCTAAATATGTAATTCCCTACTTGTAGATGATTTAAAAAAAAAAAAAAAAAAAAAAAAAAAAAAAAAAAAAGCCTTGTGTGGGATACTTTTCTGTCTGCATCACTTACCTTCATGGAAGCTCTGTTACAGTGTGGGAGCTTATGCATAATTTCTGTGGGCATTAATACCTTTTTGTCTTCTTAAAACATTGTCTGTACACAGCGTAATTAAGTGTGAAAATGCTGGTTTTAATTCAAACACCAGGTTGCTTAAGTCACACAGGAATTCTGTGATACAAAAAAGGACTGAGTGATTCCTGCTACTTTTGGTGGTACAGTCCTGCCTCTATTGTATTGAATACAGGTGGGGAAGAAAAAATAGATCCACCTCAAAGGGAAAATACTTTATTTCAAAAATGGCAAAACCCAGTTATGCTGAAATTATATTGGATAACTAATTAGTACTGTATAATCAAAGGCTAAAAGCGGTAGCACTCTATGGCATTGTGACTACCTTGATTTCATTTTCAGCAAATCAGTACAGGAGAAGGCCAAAATGGTGGCACGTCTTTTCACCCAGACACAATATCAGACTGCCTGTTTCCTGATTAGGGTATCTGATACTGAGATATTCCGATTGCATGCTCTACATGACCATTTAATACAATCTGGTGTCTGAAATCAGTAATCAGAAATTCCTTTTTGTGTCTTTCTGTAAGAAGAGCTTCAGAAGTCGGAACAGACACTCTTATTCAAGAGCAATCCCTGTCTGGGAAAGGTAGTTGCCTGCCTAAGCCACATTGGGATGGTCTAGACAAATCTCTAAGTGTCTGTACATCATGCTTGATGCACTGCTGTGTTCAGTTCAGTGAAAAGTTCACCAGTTGTGAACATTTGTTTCCTGCTCACTACAATTTATGCACTTTTTTCAGGTTTTCTAAAAGAGGGCTACAAAACTTAATCTTACTTTTACTCTTCTTGTGTCTGATGCTATAAATCTTGCATAGTTTTCTGCACAGTGAATCTATCTTCAATAGAAGTGAAAAAGAATTACTCCGTGGAAGTCTTGTATCTTGCCCAGTAGTTAATGCACTCGTCTGGGAAATGGCGAGTGTGCATTCAGATTCCCTGAGGCAAATTTGCAAGACTCCAAGACTCACCAGTTGCCTTCTTCTGGACTTTAATCACTAAGTTATTCTGCAAAAGTCTCAGAGGAAGGCCTAATGTTCTCTGAAGCCCTGAGTCAGTCATTTTTAAGATGAACCTCTGTGCTTAGTGTGTCCTTTATATTGATTTTCTATGATGTTGCACTTCATGCTCAATATCCGGGAGCACCGAATTGCCCTTCAAGATTGATGATGCCATCAATAAAATAGGTAAACTAAGACACTCTGAGTGTTCAGGAGCACCTAATTCGATCCTATAAGAATAAAAAGCCTTCTATAGAAACATTGAGGCCTAATTTGGTCACTCTAAAATGCAGGCAACTACTTGTTAGGTGTCAGAGTGTCTCGGCTTCGTGCCTAAAGTAGACAGTTTGAATATACACTTGATTAAAGTTGATCAACGCTGGTTTACATGAAATCTCAAAGAAACTTGGTGTCTCACACATCCTAAGCTTTATGAATATTTTGTGGTTTACCTACATAGAATGACAAGCCCTCTGAAGACAAACACTTCTGAAATTAGCTCCTCTGGTTTCCCTGTTTGATTCCCCCCCCCGCCTCCCCAGTTCTTCTGTTCTATTTCTTTCTTTTCCATTTCCTTGTTCTCCATAAAATTTGGTTCAGATGTTCTTTTCTTTTTCCTGTCTTCCTCTGAATTTATTTCTCCATATTTCATTAATTCACCTTTTCCATTGTCTTTTTTCCTCCTTCTTTACTATCCCTTTCCACAATACCTTTTAGTACCTCTCTTTCTCCCAGCAATTTTTGTATTGAAATGGGCTCTTGAAGAAAAACAAGATTTGTTGCTCTTCAGAACAGCTGCACTTGTCTTTATTGTTACTTAGGAAATAACCTAGTACATATATAACATACAGTGGTGGAAAATTTAATTTTTAAAGGTTTAAAACATGTTCCTCATTCTTGAAAGTGAAAAGACTTTCACGTTTTATTTGTCAAAAATAGTCTTTACTGCAACAAGTAACTTTTCCTTTTGACACTGAAGTCTTTGAGTTTAGCCCTTCCTTCAGGTGTATTTCAGAGGTAAGCCATAAGCCTTCTGTGTTCACCCTCAGGCTGTAATTTGTGTGCACTGTCTTCATCACATCTGGATGTTCTCAGGAAAAAAAGCAGAATTAGTCAGAGAAAGGGCTAGCCATAGTTTGAAGATCTGGTATGATAATGAACTAATATGGTTGACCTGGTGCCGGGTGTGTGTATTTTTTGCCAAATTTAGTGCTATTCCTAGACTGTCTGCTACTAAAAAGAACCCAAATAAAACAAACAAAAATCTCTTCAACACTAAAAGAATGATGCTAGCCAATTTTTTCCATAGTATTTAGGCTCCCCAAAAGTCACAGATTTCCTGGTAGCATTAAAGTAATTTCTTTTTGATATCTACAGGAATCAGTCTCTCACAATATGCAAACATTAAATTTTCTTTTCTAAACTCAGTACTATTTCATTTCCTTAAAAACAGTGTTTCGTAATACTTTTATGGTATAATGTTAAGAATGGTTTGTGGCATAAAGTAGGAAGCTATTAAGATCAGTTACTACATGCTTTGGTTAGTCCTGATGGGTCTAAACCACACTAGTACTTTTACAATTAGATTTTCTTTTAAAAATAATTCAATCCTTTTTTTATATAAATTCATCCGAATTACACTGTATTCTCTATATCTGAAATATGGGCTGAGTGCTCAAATTTTTGGGTTGTAACTTACTAGAAATAGATCTAATTAATATTCTACTTTTAGAAAACACTACGTACAGTAAGTAGGAATTTTTTTAGTCACACTGTTTTACTGTGATTTTAGGGAAATGAAATTAACTTTTTTGCGAACTTACCTTTTTGCAGCTCACAGCAGATAATGGCAAATAATTCTGAAGGAAATACATATAAACTTTAAAATGCATAACAGTATATATTATCTTGTGTTCACAGTCATTTTTGTGTCTTTGATTTATCCTTCAACAGCTATCGTGTTCAGCCTAAATCTACAGCCTCTGTTATATTTTTGTTGCACTAGTTTTGTCTGTGGGCAGCTTCTTTTGAGGGTAGGGAGGGGGGAAGGAGAAGAACAGCAGGAAGAAGTCAACTGAGTAGATAGAGATGAGAGACAGACTTACATCTCTTCTTGGTTTTGGTATTAACACACTTTGGT